GAAGAATCGGATGAAGAACGAGAAAAAGCTAAAATGCAGGAACAATGTCATGGCTTGACCATTTCCACGATGTGGTCCCCTGTTTTTCTGGTTTGTGTTTCAAAGCAAGGGTTGACGATTCAAACATTAGAGAGAGTTCTGATGTGCGATCCATTTCTGATTAGTGTCCAACAAGTTCCAACAAAAGCGATGGTGAATGGAAACTACGCGATTGTTAAGCTGACTTAGAGAATATGAGATATCTATGAAGACCATGACGTGGTCCCTCTTAATCATGTCGTAGCGGCCCAAAATTTGGCAAGTATATATATTTCGGACATTAGGTAGTTATCCAGAGGTAGAGGCCTTAGGGTTGCAATTTTTCATTAGAAGAACCCCTCCAAGGGTTGATTTCGAAGCTAGAGATTCGATTGGAGCAAGTATTTGAAGCTTCAAGTGCTAATTCATGAAGATTTCACTTTGGATTCTCTTGATGATCCTATCATGAAAGTTTTCGATGATTTTTTTCTTCTTTAGTTTACTGAATATGGTCTAAAAACCTTTTCTTTCACTAGATATTGATGAATCCTTGTTCATACACATTGAATTCCTTAGTAGGATTAATTGAATTTGGTTTTTACTTGTGTTTGATTGATTACTTTACCTTTCATGTTGAAATTATGATTTTTATATTTATTGCTGATTATTATTAGGATCAAATGATCATTCTATCTTGATGTACTTTGTTAATAAGCCCAGGGTTAGATAATATTGATCGGTGACTTTGATTGTGTTAGAGACCATTAGAAATCCATTCTATGCTTATATTATTTGTCATGATCATTGATAAGACTTCACTAGATCATATTGTTAATCGTTCGAATATATTTAATTAATTTGTTCACTAATTGCTTGATCATTGTGTTAGTTGTTCATTAATTTTTAGTACTAGAAAATCCGATCAAGATAACTAGTCATATGATAATTCGGTAATCAATTTATTAATCAATTGCACTTCTAACAAATCGAACATAAAAACTTGGGGGATTCGTATTCTAGTGGAAGTATTTATTAGATTTATTGTTTCCATTTTGTTCTTTAGTTCATTTGATTAATAGTGCATTAAAACAAGTTTAATTTAGTTCACAAAAAAATCCCATTTTTACTTTTCATAGTTATTAATTTAATTAGCATTTGAATCATTTAATCTAAATCATCACATTCCTTGTATTCGACACCCTTTCTTACCACAACTATATTACTTCGTGACTAACTACACTGCCTATTTGCGTTTAATACTAGAAGAGTTTAGATAAGACTTCATAAATTTAAAACTAATATACAAATAAAACACACCAAGCAGCCAGTAGGTTTCAAAAACCTAGATCTTCCTTACCATTGCAATAAGTAAGTAAGTGCGGTCTATTGTCAAAAACAAGTTCCTCGTGCTTGGTATGAAACTATGACTATATTTCTGGAAGACTCGGGATTCATTAGAGGAGTAGTTGATCCAATGTTATTTAGAAGATAAAATCATAAATATCTAGTGCTTTTGCAAATTTATGTTGATGACATCATCTTCAGATCAAACGATGAATATGTGGTTGCTGACTTCTCAAAACACATGGCAAGTAAATTCAAATGAGCATGAATCGTGAAATGAATTTCTTTCTAGGTTTGAAGATAAAACAATCCTTTCAAGGTACATTCATTGATCAAGAAATATGTACTTTTGAATCGCTCTAGATGTATTTCATTGACAACTGTGCATCATCCAAAGTTCCCATGTCCTCCAGTACGAATATGTATGATGTTCTATCCTTAGAATCTGTAGATCAAAATACTTACCAACGAATAATTAGTTCTATTATGTACCTTACTATAAGTAGAGCTGACATCATGTTCATCACTTACAAATGTGCTCGATTCCAGGCCAACACAAAGGTTTCACATATCATTGTTGTTAAACAATTCCTTTGATATATTCGAGGAAGAAAATCGTTCGGTGTATGGTATGCAATTGGAAATGACTTTAGTCTTCATGCCTTCACCGATTTTTATCATGCTGGATACAAACTTGATCGAAAAGTACATACGTAGGATGTCAATTCCTCTGAGGAAGACATGTAAGGTGGTCTTCAAAAAAGCAATCACTTGTCTATCTTTCCACCATCGAAGCAGAATATGTCGATGCTTCTAGATTTTGTTCTCAAGTCCTCTGGATGAAGTCAAAACTTTTGGACTACAAATATTGTATGTTAAATGTACCAATCTACTATGATTCCAAAGGTGCTATTGTCATATCTCAGAATCCAGTTCAACGCTCTAGATATTTGATAACACTTTCTGAAAGATAACATCATCAAAGGAGATATTGAAATTATTTTTGTTCCCACAAAAGAAGGAATTACAGATGTTCTCACGAAGCCTCTTGACCAAACCACATTTAATAACTTTCTCAACATGTTAGCGATGCTTAATCCCGACCCTAATATGTTAGCTTAATATTCATTCCTATCTGATACTTGTGGTATCTATTACCAATTTTAATGATTTTTCAGAAGAACTGTTCTTTAATAAACTTCAAAAGCCTACACCAGAAGAAATGTCATGGTCTTTTGATTCATCCATTGGACAAAGTATATATATTGAGTGTTTAACATAACATTCCATTCTTTAAAGTGTTTGTCCTAAAGTATTTCATATATCATCCCATCATAAAAAGTCCTTTAAAAAAGCTAAAAAGGTATAATAAATAGAGTTCTGATGACTTATCTTAAATGTTTAATCAATTTTATTATTTTTTGACTGATTGCCTTATAAATAATGTTTTCTTTCAAAATCATCACTTATTAGATTTAATTGTTCAAATCATTCTCTCTTTAAAAGTAGACTTTTTCAGAATAAAAGACATGTGTTGGTTTATTAATGTTTTCATTCTCTCCAAGGGTGAACCCCTCCTTTTAAAAAAAATCAAGAGATAATTTTCAAGTCAGTTTACTTTCAAATCAATTTGGGTTATTTGTACATTGAATAGCGGATCACTCAAGTTTTTCATTTAACGACTCTGCCATTATTATTTAATGCCTCGTAGTTATCGCATTTTTTAAAAATCTTTGGAAATGTGGGACGGTTCGTAATCATATACCGTTATCCAAACTCCATGTAAATATTCTCTCTCCAACAATTCTGACCCATGTTGTCAAACAATTTCTAACTTCTTATTCGTGCTCGTGCATCTCTTTGTTGTTCATATTCCTTCTTCCCGCATCAAATGAAAAATTGGGACCTTCTTCCGAAAGCCCATGTCTTTCTTCTCAATCCAAATCCATATACAAACCTACTTTGTGCAATCTTTAGGCAGTTCTTTATGCATCTTCAATGGATTACGCTCTTGCAATATTGATTGAAATCTTAAAACATCACTCTTTCTTTGTCCCCCTCACCATCTCCAAATTAATATTCCATCTGAATACCTCATAAAGGTACATATAATTGCAGATGTTGATGACAAGCTTGATCGATTGATACTTCAATAGATCAACAACGATAGTTTATCTCACCAAGCACATCTTTCTTGATTTCATTGGTCTTCCTACAACTATCATTTTATTAAGATATGAAACTCTTACCACTCCAGTTTTTCGCAAACTTCTTGAGATAGGTCACAAATCCCTGCTTAAAACCACAAGTAACTTCGAAAATATCAAAACTCCTAGTTACTTGGAACTTTCATGTACATCTAATCATTAGATGTCTCACCGACAAAATCATAGGAACCGGTTAGTTTAGTACCACATGGCTTCAAATCCTTTGGGGAATCATCGCCAGTAGACTAGTTAACTATGCTACATATTTGTCAAATGAATTCAAATAATACATCAGAAAAAGAAAGAAGGAGATTCCTCATGAAATATTTTGGCCCATTTGTCTCAAATCTCTCTACAACACCTCCAAAATTCTCTTTGATGAATCTTTAGAGATGTTTGAAACATAGAAAACAAAGAGATTTTATGTTCATGGACAAGTAAAATTCAGATCCACCAAACATCTACATATTGCTCTTCTGGATCCATCATCAAAGATGAAGTCACCAGGTCAATCTGGTTCTTTGGAAAGGGACAAAGCCACTGCCGCCAAAATCAAAATAGAGAGAGAATTAAAAGAAAAAGAACATAAGGGAAAAGAAGCAGCAAATTTAAATCAACAGAATGCATATGAAAGCACTCCATGACCTAACGAAAAAAGGAAAAAAATAGAGAAAAGAACTAGAGGTTGTTGAAATAAAAGTTGAGGAAGAAAATAAGAGGGCATCAGATGAAAGTGCTTGGATCAAAGCTCTAACAAAAGAGCTTATCAAGAAAAAACAAGACGAAGCTCCCCACTCCCCTATGAAGACTTCTACAACTTTTAACTCTTCCTCCAAGACATTAACAGGAACCAAGCTAAGTTCAAGGGACATATCATTTGGAAATTATTCTAGTGAATATTTCTTTGAATCTATCATAATCATGTCCAACATCTTTGCCAGGCCACGTACTACCGAACAAACTGCCACATCTCAGAAGCCTCCAACTGAACCTATAACTTCTCCTCAAACCCCATGAATCGAGTATGAGCACAAGTCCACTATTGGATCTGGTAACTCCTCAGCAAATTTAAAGATCTTGTATGCCAAGATGTATCTCATTAGTCAACAACTATCCAAACCACCTTCTGCTCCCACTTTGACAGAATTTTAATCAAGCGCTTATGAAGATCTGGAAAAAACTCTTAAGAAGGTTCTCTCCTAAGTGTCTCGTCTAAAACGATGTGAAGATTTCCAAACTTCCACTAGTTTAACCATCAAGCATCTCTCCAAGGAGATCTCTTACCATAAAGCTTATGTCAAATAAAAGTTTTACAGCTTCTTCATCAATTTGGTAAAACAACATAGAGAAGAAGTTGAAAACTCCATTAAAATTTATGTCACTATCAGACCAATAGTTTTATAATGACAAGTGTTTGCTCAAATCTCTCCAATGATGTTCAGCACCTTACCAAAATGGCATCGTGAGGAATCAGAGAAGATTAATGATTATATCAAGAAAGTTGGCACCCTTCTTGAAACTTCAGAGATTAATATCAATATTGATGCTCTTTCCAAGACAGTAACTCAGTCTTTTCTCAACATGTACGATAAATTTGAATAGATTTGGAAAGGGTTCGAATGAGTTTCGGCCTTCTTTCACGAAATAGGGAGAAGAATAATAAAACAAGGAATAAACCCACAAATATCCTCAAAAAACCACAACTATTTCCCCTTCAAAGGCTTCTTATGAAAAAAAGATCCCAGATGGAGTAGTCATTCATAATCTCCAAGATGATGATGAGAAGCGAAATACCTTTCAGAAGAAACCTCTAACATCTCCGAAGTATCCTCCAAAACCACTCAGTATTCTAAAGCATTCTCCAAATTCTCTTATAAAAACTCCTCCTATAGACCTCGGAAACAAGAAAGTAGAAGAATAAGAAATCCCTCGATTAGAGCATTTCATTAAAGAAGACAAGATTGATGAAGAAACCAGAAGATAACTGACCTTAGGCTATGAACACCAACATTGTATGGCCGCAAGTCTTTTGCAAGAATAGTTGAACAGAGAAAAAGTTTCTCCCCTTCTCCAGAGCATAGTGCAAAAAAAGAGCTCGATGTTGATGAAACCGTATTCCGTCCATGGAAATTCATAGTTCGAATGATTCAAGACAAGGACATTGTTCCTTATGAGTCCTACGATTCTCCATCCATTTTCGAGTTTGATTGGCATCTTCTTATCTCACCAAACAGTCATAACTTTCTAATATTCCCTCCTCTTGAAACCTCCAAACCAAGAAGCGATCCTATGGTTAGAAAATTTCTATTTGAAGCATCAGCAAAAGTCCTGTCTCATCAGAAGGATATATGTTCACGAGAAGTGGAGAGGTTTAGAAGAAGTTGACTCTTGTTTTTTTTTTTAGTCAGTGAGAAAATGTTGTGATACTGCGGGGAGGCGCAGTATTTACTAGTCAGCGAGAGAGTGTTGTGATACTGTAGGGTGTCGTAGTATTCACCAGTCAGCGAGAGGGTGTTGTGATACTGCGGGGAGCTGTAGTATTCACAATTCAGCGAGGGAGTGTTGTGATACTGCGGGGAGCCGTAGTATTTAGCAGTCGGCGAGAGAAGTGTTGTGATATTGCAGGGGGCATAGCATTCATGAGTCAATGAGAGAATATCGTAGGTCTACGGGGAGCCGTATTATTCGCTAGTCGGAGCATGACGCAAAAAAGTTTTAGGCTTGGGTAGCCTCATTATTTGAGTTTTTTGGAACTTGGTGGTCAGACATGGGGAGATACTGGTGTCACCTTATTGACCGGGAAGCGTTATATTCAGAGTTAAGGTGTGGTTATCACAATCGGAAGGAATTGGAGAAGCGATGTACGCGCGAGTTGTGGGTCGTGGGTCTTGAGATGATTGCTTCATTGGGACGAGTGGTTTCAATACTGGGTCGGACCAGACTTTTGAGTTTGATTTTGGCTCTAGTGGTGTATTGATTAGGCAAAAAGAGATTCCAGATTTAGGGATGGATTCCATTTGAGGTGTATTCATTATCATCTGTTGTCTTAGACCTGAGAGGGTCAGTTCGTTGGGATGGGAGGTACCATGAGGCGAATATGACTAATGAGTAATAGACTACAGAGGTCAGGGAGGAGAGGATCCTCAGTTGGGATTGTAGTATTCGCTAGGGATAAAACGAACTTCATGACTTGTGTGTCATAATGGGCTGAGATAGTTATTGTGAGAAGGAAGCCAATGATATGCATTGAGGTAGGCAATGGGTAACCTTAGAGGTTCAACTGTTGGGTCAGGAGCTGATCTGATGTTTAGTTTTAAAAGTGATAACTAAGAGGAAGTTGGGATTTATGACTATTAGATATCAGCGGATACTTCTGAGTGAGCATGATTATTTTCTTGTGTCTGAGGACAGGGTGTGGAGAGTCCATGGTTCGAGATGGGTTCTGATAGCAGGACAGTGGATGGGTCCCTAGTGAGTTGTGAGTATTCGTTTCGTTGGGGGTATGATCCAGATCAATTAGTATATCTAGTAAGAATGATCGATAGCTAGTTATTGGTCAGTGACTTGTTTCTAACAGTCACAACGAGAGAATAAGAGGAGCAGTAAGTTAACTGGGTCTGATGTTTGAAGAGTGTTTAGCACAATGATATATTATGAGGGCGGTCTGGCAGGGAGACAAACATTAGAGTTTTCGATTCCTGGAAAGCTAGGATGAGTATCGTAGTGGCAGAGGGGTCTGTTCTTTTTTGGGTATGGGAGTTTCCTAGTTGGGTACAAGTGTCTTGGGAGAAAATTGTTGTATGATATGAGATTCCTTCGGTGGTACTTCTCGGGTCATTGAGACGATCTATGTGTTGTCAAGGAGCGATTTCGAGGGCGAAATCTAATTCAAGTGGGGAAGAATTGTAACATCCGCATTTTTAGGTATATTAATTATTTGTTTATTTTGAGATTAATTAAGTGACTCGTGTGTTGGGAGTCTAACTTGTCAAGTAGGGACGAGTTGACCATGTGGGATTAGTGGTCTACACGACGAGTCCGCGAGTCCACTTGTCAAGTAGACACTGAGTGGTGAAACCCTATGTTCCCAGGTTTGGGACCTATTTAAGGATAGTTAAAGCCCCATTTATGGCTCACCAACCATTCTTCCACTTTGAGAGAAACCCTAAACGGACATATAGATTAAGGAGAGAGTTTGAGCTTACATTTGAGTGTTTTGTGCATTACTTTTGAAGTGAAGGGGAGGATCCAACCAAGGAACGTGAAGGAGGGCAGTAGATCTGAGGTTATCTTGTCCAGAAGCATCTGAGAGAGGTGTTACATTCAAGTTTGACTTTTGAGGTTTCAAGTCAAAGGGAATTTTTGTTGGCTTCAAAATCATATATATTTTTGGTAAATTATTCCTTTTGGTGAATAATGACTTCTTCAATCACCAAAGTTAGTGAGAACTCATGCTCTCGGTCTTGTGAAGCTAAAAGTAAACATTATCGTGATCAACATGAATTATTAACTAGGGAAATTGAGGACTTTAAATATGAAGGCTATACTCTTAGAAATGCCCAAAAACCTTTAAAAGAAAAATTAGAGGCCAAAACCAAGGATTTTAGAAAACTTCAAGAAGAATACACCACAATGTGTGAACTTTATGATTATGCTCAACAAAAGATTGCCAGTCTAACTGTCGAGCTTAACACATTAAAAATACGTTTAAAAGGGCAGACTTTAATTTTAAAAAGTTTGATGTGTCAAGTAAAGTGGTTGAGAAAATGATAAAAAAACAGTTAAAATTGAAAGATAATCAGAATAAGGCTCTAGGGTTTCACAATTTTCCACCTCCCTTCAATGATAACTATGCCCCTGCCCCTTGAAACCAATGAGATAGAGACACCTGCTCAATATGGCCATCCCTCTGTAACAATTTCAGTTGAGGGTGTATAATCTGGTCCCACTAAAGGTGTTGAGGTGAACGATTCTGATACTTCTACCTCATGTGCAGATAAGGCCACAGTCCAAGATGGGTATGACAAGAACACAAATAATTCTTGTTCTGCTGACAATGTTTGAAAACTCATGATGAGGTGAACGATTCCAATGCTTCTACTTCATGTGCAGATAAAGAAGAAGTGCAAGATGGGAGTGAGCAGAACAAAATCAATTATGAGTCTGCTGAAAGTGTTTCAAAATCTTGTGATGATGACACTCCTTCGTGATGAAGTCAACGATTCTAATGCTTCTAACAAATGTTCTTTTGCTTGTTCTTGTGGAAGTTCTTCGAAACATACTTTAGTTGGATAATGACCAAGTAACAATCTGATCTATATGAAAAGATAGACTTGTTTCAACTGAGGGACTCTCGGTCACATTGTCAAAAATTACCCACATCGTTTATATGTTCCTTACTACAAACAAGGTTGGCAGAACGTGCCAAGAGGGAGATCCTCCAAAAGAAATCCTTCAAGGTCACGTTCATGCAATGGTGATTGGAATGCGAAAACGGCCAAGAATCAAACTGCCAAGGACAAAAATGGAATGTCAGAAAAGAAGCCAAATTCAAGAGATGGTTTCGTTAGAATAAGATCGGTTAGGTCGAAGTCATCTCGGTGATTCATTTAAAGTTCTAAAACGAGTGCTGAGGCATCCATCCGATCAAACAGGAAATGGGTTAAACCCGACTACAGATGGGTACAAAAGGTTCACACTCCCAAATCATCAAATCACTCTAACATTGCTTCATCTTCTGTGTCTGATAAACAGGATATGTCACGGAGCGAGTACCTTGTGTAGATGATAAAGGTCAACCCATCTTCAAAATGGACTGGGTTCCAAAAAGAAATTGATCCCACACTCTGTGTCGGAGCAGCTATGGAGGAATATCATCAGACTTTAGTTTGTTGATAGTGGCTGTTCCTAGTACATGACAGGAGACATATCTTAAATGCACATCATTCAAAACTTTAATTAAGGGTATGTGTCCATTGCAGGAAGGAAGAAAGTATGGATCAGAAATGGGGAGCGTATCAAACGGAGTGATGAATCTTGAGTTTGTTAACCTCGTTCTGGAATTGAAACACATATGAGGCTGGATATGTTGCTACATTTGCGTGTTGTTCTCAGATCATCTGGATGCATCTTCAATTACTGACTTACGGTTTGATTTTGTTTTCTCGATACTCCGAGGTTCTCTTGAACAATTCGTTTTGAAGATTAAATTTTATTTTTTTTGTGTTTTTACGCATTTACTTTATTTCCTTTCTTCCCCATGCTCAAATTAAAAGGGGGGGGGGGAATTTAATATATATATATATATATATATTAAAAAATTATAAAATCAAAAATTCCAAAAAAATTTCTTCTTTCGTCAGCATTTTTAGCAAATGATATGAAGTTTAGTGTTAATGGAAATCTGAAATACATGTAATGCACTAGTGCTAAATGGTTTAGGCTCTATGTTCAATGTGCTAGTAGGCACGAAGGATTGAAATAAAAGGACAAGACAACGTTAACTCATCTGGACATAGATAGTTTCATTTGGATTGACCATACGACGCTTAGATAGATTGAGCAGTCAGATAAACAGGTGAGCCTACGAGATACTTTAAAGTTAATTATCTAAAACTGTGGCTCAACACTTCTTCGATGTACGGACTTATGTCCTTTATTTTGGTGCTGATATGGTGACTAGGGGGTTCTGATAAAGTAGGTCTATGTGAAGTTGTTTTTCTTTCTTATCCTCTCCGTCAGTCATATGTTGCCCCCTTTGCGTTATCGAAAGATCTAACCTGGGACGCAACATATGCACTCTACTTATATGCATCTCTATATATACATCTCTCTATCTATCTATGTCAGTCATATGCTATCCCCTCAGCATGATAAGAAGATCCGACCTGTGACACAAAATATGCACCTTTCTATCTCTCTATCGGTCTATCTGTGTTAGTCATATGTTTTCCCCTCTGCATGACTGGAAGAGATCCGACCTGGGACACAACATATGTTGTCCCCTCAGCATGATCAAGAGATCCGACCTGTGGCTAACATCAAAAATAGCCACAGGTAGTTCTCCGATACTCGACAAATCGCAGTGCGTTCCTCTGTGTTCACACAGATACTGCGAGTAGTCTCATTCTAAGCCAAGGTTGGGTCCTTAAACAACTATGGTGAGAAGGGTCTTTTTGATTCTGTGATCCACAGGGACTTTTAGTTATGGTTACTTCTCGAAGACACACCAGTGATCGTTAAAGAACATTTATTCGAAGGAATTGTAAGTGAAGATTATTTTTCAACACTCAGTCTTTCAATCCCAAAAGCAAGGTGAAGCTGTACTTGAAGTTATGTGACGATTTATATTGAATCCTCCTCAATCAATTGGATTCTATCTATGA